GCGGCAAAAGCGCCTGCCTGGCAAGCGCAAGGTCGTGAGTTCGGTTCCCGGTACCGGAGAAAAACCAAAAAAAAAAAAAAAAAAAAAAACAAAATTAGAACAAGAGATTCACCTTTAAAGGCCCATAAATTGATCGTGGAACTCTGACATAGGAGTAGAATTATTTCAGTTATGAGGGCACTGTTTTTCAATAAACATATTCATGACTTTACTTGAAGCACATTAGTGAGATAACATGAAGCTTCACTTCCTGTGGTTTTCCCCACCCTGCACCAAGCAGGTATAAAAGGCCCTGACAGATGGTGACAGCAAAACTCAAATACCTACTTTCTGATCCTCAACCGAACCTTCGACTCCTGACACCATGTGCTACTATGGCAACTACTGTGGTCTGGGCTATGGCTATGGCGGCCTAGGCTGTGGCTATGGCTACGGTGGATACGGTGGCTATGGTGGCTATGGTTATGGCTGTTGCCGCCCCCTATGCTGTAGAAGATACTGGTCCTATGGCTTCTACTGAAATGTTTCCACAGAGGCTTAACCTATCAGACTAAAATTATCCCCACCCACACAAAAATATTTAGTTCCTTTTAAAATACCAAAGATATAATAAGCTAAGGAAACTGAAAACAATGCACTGTGTCATTTTGATTCATCATTATCAACTGGATTGTGTCATATTTTGTGGAAAATTTTTTGTGTTACCTTTGTAATCTTATGTAAAATGTGGTCAAATCTGACTGTCAATGTCTGGGTCAAATGGTATGCATCATTAAATAAATTGTATTTTACCATAAATATTGTCTATCATACTTCTATTAATCATCATCAATTTGGCATAGACATTTGTGATTAGTCACATTTGTGTTTGTTTATGGGGTGGGGAGAAAAAGAGAAATAAAGATAAAGGCAGAGACATGAAATAGTATCAGATCTTTGCCAACATTAGGTGTTGGCAAATAATTTATTTCTATTAGATCACACAAAATCTGTATATGTACATGCATACATGCATATATATCTATCTATAGCTAGATAAGATATATATAATCTTTTATTTCTTTTTTTGTTTGCTCACAATCATCTAGGTTTAAAAAACTATAATAATATTTTTATTCCTCACTATAATAATATTTTTATAACAGATGACTTAAAATTATTTTTATTCGTATATTTGTGTCATTTGTGACAATAGTGGTTACATTATATCAAGTAGAGCTCTACACTGACACAATTTTCTAAATTAAAAAAAAATATCTGAACGCAGATGACAGTAGGTATCTTCATACTAAAAATATCACTAGTGAATGTCTGACCTACTAAATGGCAGCCAAATAGTATCTCAAAATATACCAATTTATACTATATAGAAATAGTGTGTAATTGTGAGTTCGATTCCTGGTACTGGAAAAAAGAAAAGAAAATGTGTATTATATATGGCAAGATGTATTTATTAAAACCATGAGATAGTTGCTCAACTTGGTATTCCATTGTTTTCTTTTCACAAAGAACTCTGATCTTTAGTAAAAGTATATGCTTTTGTATAATAATGTCCTCTACAATAAATTTTTTTCACCCTGAATATAGTTATGTTTTATTTGGGAATTTCAAACTGACAACATTAAATAGAACGGAATGTTGATAGAAAACGTAAGGAACAAAAATCTAATATTCTAAAGATGAAGAAATTTTTGAAAAGTAGGCTTAAATAAAGAGTTTTGTTTCTAGGAGGCAAACAAGAGGTTGATAGAAAAAGGTAGGCTGGCAAAGCACAACTGTAGACATATAAGGACACATTCTTAAAAACAGTGTGTTCATGGAATGCTGAATTTAACGCAGAATCAGGTGCCTTCCGGGTATATTTAAAAATTCTCAGATTGTCTATGTCAGTTTTTTAAGTGAATATGCAAAATCATTTGAAAAATAGAAATTTTGTGTATGTCAAAGAGATAAGATAATTAAAACTAGAGTTCAGGACCTGCTAAGAAGCAGCAGCCTTGAAAGAAAGAGACAAAGGAGAAACCCTACAGGCTCGACTACAAATGGTTGACAGATCAATACCGGAATTCCTGAAGCCTAATTTTGTGTTAGTCCTCCATGGAGTCAAGGTGACCTGATCTCTTCTAATACCGTAGAAGCAGCCAACAATAGTTTCATGGTGAAATATGTAAGGAACAACATTATCTTTGGATGTCTTCTGAGGTTTTGACCTGCTTAAGCGAAAGGACCTGAATATCAGAATTGTGCGACTCTGGCCCTATGTAAGCTGTTCCAGTGAGACTCAGAAGCCTCTGCTCTGTTTGATTAGTTTATCTGTTATATTCATATATAAGTCTTTTAAATGACACTGTGCTCGCCAAAGTAATCCTTTTCCTACCACTATAGCAACCCTTGCCTTTCTTTCTATTAATACTCTAAATTTAGGCTGTTATTTAGCACTGTGTTTCGGGCAGGAGACTCTGTTGCCTAATCTTCACATAAAACAATCTACGCCACACAGCATGAATGGCAGGTATAGTTCCCATAGAATCTCCTGTCTCAGGCTGCTGATGCCTGGGCTTCGATATTAACAGCTCCTGAGGGCTCTGCTGTTCACCAGTTCAGCTCAGGAGTCTTCAGTGTGCTGAGTATTTGACTTCCTCTGGTAAAACCACTTGAAACTATGACTCCACGTTTTCCTTTGAAATACCTCCCCAAATGTTCTTGCATATTCTTTGATTTTCTTAATGGTCTCCACATTGGGAAATGACAACACAATACAGTTGTACACAGTCCTGATGAGATAATCCTCCTAATATTTTAAAAATCAACAGTATGATTGAAATTCTGAGCAACCAAGATATACACTAATATTTACACACATGAAAAATCCATCTTATTTGAAAAAATACATATTTTACCCACTGAAGAAAATTAATTTATTTTTCAATTAAAATGAAAAAATACATATATTTTACTTTTAAAACAATGGAAGTTTCTCCTTTTGTTCTGTAAAAATGAGATACAGGGAGAGTAATAGATTTCAATTAGCAAAAGAGTCTTAAAAATGATTGGCACATGGTAGAGCAATAGATATCATATAATTGTACACAATATTGATTAGACAACTGTCCTAATATTTTAAAAATCAGCAGTGTGAATGAAATTCTGACTGACCAAGATACACATTGAAAATTTGCACACCTGAAAAATTTATCATATTTGAAATATACATGTTTGGCCCATAAGGTCAAACTAAATGTCCACTTTGTACACATGATTGTAACCCCACCAAATGATCAATAGCACATCTCATTCATCATGGGATATGATCAGAAAGTAGGCTGTTACACATATTATTTTTTAAGAAGGCAAGGAGAGGAGATGAGAGGAGAGGGGAGGAGAAGGGAGAGGAGGGGAGGGGAGGGGACGGGAGGGGAGAGGAGGGAAGAAGAGAGGGAAAGTGTCCCTGTGGAGGAACTGAAACCAAAATAAAATAAAAACAAGGATACCTATGGCATCTTCATGATTTGCATCACACCATGTGTTCAGGTCATATGTGCACAATTAACTAGACATATAATGAGCCAGATCCTTGAAAATAGATCAAGAGTTTCACGTCAAAGGCTCATACATGATGGTTTTCTGACATAGCAACAAAATCATCTCTGTTATGAGGACCTTGTTTTCTTTATACGCACACATTTACGTCATCATCTGAAGCTCACTGGTCAGATAATAGGATGTTACACTTCCTGTGGTTTCCCCACCCACCTCCAAGGACATATAAAAGGCCCCTGTGGATAGTGACATCCAGACCAAGACACCAACTTCCAGATCCTCAACTGAACATTCCACTCCTGAGACCATGTGCTACTATGGCAGCTACTCTGGTGGCCTGGGCTATGGATACGGTGGTCTAGGCTGTGGCTATGGCTGTGGCTATGGCTATGGTGGCTATGGTGGCTATGGTGGTTATGGTGGCTATGGTGGCTATGGCTATGGCTGTTGCCACCCCCTGTGCTGTAGAAGATACTGGTCTTATGGCTTCTACTGAAATATCTCCACAGAGCTCAATCTATTAGCTATAACCTCCTTTCATTAACTGAAATTATCTCCAATATTCCTCTCATAAAAAAATTTTAATATCTTCAAAAACAACTAAACTCTCCCAAAGTACAATGCAGCATGCCATTTTAATTTATCCATATCTTTCAGATTCTGTGGTAATTGTAGAAAAGTTGTGTGTTATTATAACTGTATATAAAATGTGATCAATTTCACTGTAATTTCTCTGTAAAACTGTATTATTAAATAAATTATCACCAATATGGCTTTGTTACAGTTGTACTACAGTATGTTGTTCATATGTTTTTGCACTTGTGTATGTTGTGTGTGGTTATAGTGTGGGATAGAGAAAAAAGACAAAAGAAAGTTGAGAGAGAGATGAAGCTCTTTAAAAATAATTAAATGTCTAAACCTGAATGAGGTAAAATATTAGTCCTTTTCAAAAGATCACACAATTTGTTTCTCCATATCTTTTAATCTCCTTACCATTTCTGTTTGTTTGTGTTCTTCATCTAAATTTTAAAAATAACTCTTTCTACAATAATATCTATATCTATATCTATATCAGGTCATTTAAAATTGTGTGCACCACCATGAATGTCATTTGTAGAACCATTTATAAGACTGTCAGTTTGACCTCTGCCTCTTGTTTCTCAACTTTTAAAAAATATTCTTACCCTAAAGGATGACAATTGAAGTTATCATATTAAAAATGGTTGTAAAGCTAATGACATTCTTGCTTGCCAGTATGGCTCCAAATAGGATCTAAAAATACATCAATTTATTATAATTATTTAGAAAAAAACCTATATGTATTATGCATAACAAAATAATTTTTTACAAAATCATGATGTATTTGATCAGTCACAAATGAGTATTAATTTTTTTTCTATTACCTAGAAATCTGGTCTTCATCGATTTTATATCCTTAGGAATCCTAATTATCTCCATATTAAAATTGTTTACACCCTTAAATTAAGTTGCATTTGGGAAACAAATGTATAACATCAAATGCAATGAAATGCTGACAGAAAAAATAAATATTAAGTGACCCAAGATTGTGAAGATGGAGAAATTTTGGAAAAGTGTGCTCCACTGCTCTTGATGCTAAAAAATGAGGCTCAGTGTACTGGGATAAGATAATGAGCAAAATTTTGAATTTTACACCCTCTATGCATAGCAAATCGATTTGAGATAAAAGAAGACACAATCCTGAAAAAAATATGCTATTAAAATGTAAAGAAGATTTTTCCTTGAGATACTTTACAAATTGTTGCATAAGTCTGTTTCCTAAGAGAACCAAAATCATATGAAAATTAGAAATTTTGTCCGTACAGAGATGATGAGAAAATAAGCACTAGAGTTCGGAATTTGCTAAGAAGCACACTTAACTGAAGAGGATTTTACCCTACAGAGTGGGCCCAAACAGAAATAGATAGATCCTGGTCAGGAACCTTATTTTGTGTTAATCTTTGCTTAAATTAGGGCAAGCGATATATTCTTTCTTCTTACCTTTCCTTTGTTTTCTTTTTGATAAAATTTATTGTATTCAAAGTGATGCACAACTTCTGAGCTCCAGGGATCCCACTACCTGGGTTTGCAAATTAAATGAGCTACAAGTAAGCATCTCTACTTCCAACTCAATATGAACAAACTAACATATTCTAAGAACAAAGGAGCAAATACAAAAATAATCTATGGTGAAATGCGATACTATTCCAGAACTTCTACAATTTCAGTAAATAAGCAGAGTATTAAACTCTATGGTAGTGTGCACAAGAAACACCAGATCATAAAAACTAAAAGATGAGCAGCAGTTTGCAGACAAGAAATATCACAATAGATATAACTGATAAATATAGTTGAAGAAAAAGTGCAAAATATATATTAAATCTGCAGAACTTCAACACAGAAACAAATTTAAATTCTTCTTCTTAAATAAGTGAGAAATATGGGTAAGAATTCAGTAGACTTAGGTGAAATATGAAACTTAAATGTACATTGATTAAACAGTCAACTGAAATAAAACTAAGAAAAATTAGAATGAAGATTTTCAGAGTATTAAACATGTGTTGGATCTCATAAAAAGATAAAACATATACATAAATGGAATTAAATAGAGGAAGAAAAGTAAACCAAAATCCATTTTAATAAAAATTGTTGCATATTTTGCAGAAGTGTTGAAAGATATCAGTGCACAAATTTTAAAAGGTATTCACTGCCAAAAGGAAAAATGCCAATTAAAATCACACATATGCATGACTTATTAGCTGAAAATTATGTGCAAAACCAAAGTTTTAATTTAGGTAAATAAAACAAATGTACTACATAAAAGAAAAGTAGTAAGTCTGACAGTTTTCCAAAGTTCAACTTTGCACAGAACAAAAATGGGGCTGGAAGAAATTGTAGTGATATATTTAGCACACATTATGAATTACCATCAATTTAAAATTTCACACCATCAAAATTTCCCATTTAATAAAGTTAAATGAACAATCATCTTAATAAAATATAAAATATTTATCTTCAATAAAATGAATGTGATACTTTGTAGACAATAACAAAATATATTTTGTCAAATGTGCAGTATTAAGAAATGATAGATTTATTGAAGGAAAAAGGAAGTAAGAATAAATGAACATTCAAAAAATAATAAAATTAACTGGAAATAGAATAGAATGTTAACTTTGTATATATAACAATAATACATATATACATATTAATGTTTTAATATACAGCAAATGAATTATATGATAAGAATTATCATGAAAGTCCAAGAATAAATAAAAGATACCTCCAAGGTTGTAAGCTAATTAGGAAAGAAGAAAGAATTATATATTGCAACTGACTTTACTCAGTCGATGAAACTGGAAAAGTTAGAAAAAATTTTTTAAAGTTTTGTGAGTAGTGAAACAAGGGGAGATAAAAAGTTGAATTTTGGAGTACTGGTAGTCTTTTTCATAGCTACTAATACTGGTTCTAGGTTTATGACCAACTAATGTGTTGGTTAGGTAGATCAGTCAGGGGAAGAAAAACTTTTAATGCAGGGCTAGTCAATATCTTAGGTTTTGTTTTGCATGCTTTATGTACTGTCTTAATATTCAGTTTTGTCGGGGCTGGGGATTTAGCTCAGCGGCAAAAGCGCCTGCCTGGCAAGCGCAAGGTCGTGAGTTCGGTTCCCGGTACCGGAGAAAAACCAAAAAAAAAAAAAATTCAGTTTTGTCATTCTAGTGTCAAAGCAACTTGACGTGTATAAATGAATGGATGTAAATGTGTTCCAATAAAACATTATTTAACATAACAAATAATGGACCTTGTCTACCCTTAGGATGGAATATTATTCAGCACAAATTATTCATTCTTCTCTTACCAGTAGGGCAGGATTGTACATTTCCTCCTCTTTGAATGTGATTACCACTGCCACTTTATTGTGCTTCCTGTAGACAGAGTGTATTTTTGTAACCTTTGCCTTTCTGGTTAGCCATATTTTCTGCATGGTCAGTGGATTTGCATTAGTAAACCTTCCCATTGCTTAATAAACACCTAACACCTAAAATTTCAAAGAGGAGAGGTTTAGTTCTGCTCACAACTCACAGGATCCAGTGCTTTCTCAGCTGGCTGCAAGTCAGAAATATCACTGTCAAGTGCTTGGCAAAGGGAAGCAGGAAAGCTGCTCACCTAATAGTAGCCAGGAAACAGAGAGAAGAAGGAACCTAGGAAGGAAAGATAAGCTAGAAAGGCACATACCGAGTGACCCAGCTCTTCCAACCAAGTCCCACATCCCCACAGCACGTTCACCCATGAACACATCATTGGAGTAATCCACAGATAAATTGTAGAGTCCCTGTGACCCAACCACATTCCCAGTGGTCTACATCTGAATTAGTGATACTTCTACAGGACATTCTAGAGCCATACCTCAATACGAGTGTTGCCAGACAAGGCTTGCATTAAGGTTTTTTAATGCATATTTAAGATTTATCTGTTGTGATTTCTGTTATGATCTTTAATTTTTACCAGAAGAAGCTTCCCTGTTGAGTGGTCAATCCAAGGAAGAGCAGAGTCAGTTGTAGAAGACTTGAAACAAATCAACAACTTCAGCTAAATCCAGATGACATTGACCAAGTCACTGTCTAACTGTATTATTGTGGTACATTTTTTACAGTCTATGACTCAGTGGTGATACATTATGATTAATGACAGTCTGTCATGTCCAGCTCAGTTCTCAAAATTCTCAGGGTGAAGGACTGAAGAGGACGAAGAAATGAAGACCAGGGTCAGAATGCAGAAAGCTGAGGTCAGGTAGAGCTCTCTCTCCAGATGGAAGGAAAGGAACTGCCCAATAACTGCAGTGCATTTATTTACAACACTTGGGGGGCAATTGTTAGTTGAAATCCCTTTGCCTAGCAACCTGATTCCTTAGCTCACCTTTGGGTGCCTCATGGCAGCTTGTTCACATGGCTCACCTCAGGCACTCCACACTTGCGATTGATCTCCAGCTTCAGTCGCTCCCCACAATAGTCTATAGTTTACATTGTGCTGCATATTTGTGGAACCGGAATTGTATAGTAACATATCCACAGAATTGCAATACAGTATGATGAGGAGTATTTTCATTAGCTTAAACATTTCTCTTGCGTCAGCTATTTATCCTTCCCTACTGTCATCAACCATATTATCAGCTAAATAGTTTTATTTTTCTTATGTTACATAATGAGCATCACATGATAAGTAGTGTTTTCAGAGTGTTTTCTTTAACATATCAACATGTATTTAGATACCCACCATATCTCCTTATGCTTTGTTAGGTGATTTCTTTTTAGGACTGAGTAATATTCATTTCCTAGATATACTACAGTTTATCCACTCATATAATGGAGAGCATTGTGATTGATTCTAACTTTTGTCAATTATGAATAGCTTCTATACATCTACGTATAGGCTTTGATATGAATGTACATTTTCATTTCCTTCAGGTAAATGTCATGG